CTGTAAAGGGGGAGCGAGATGGAAATGGCCACTATTATTATTCCCATCTTGCAGAGGAGGCCTAAAAAGGCCTAAGCAACGCCATCCCCCCCACCCCCCGGGAGCTGAGAAGTGGTGATGCTGGGTTTCGAGGGGTCTGTGTGCCCACTGAACCTGCTAGCAACACTCTGGAACATTGGAAGCCCTGAATGAGCAGCAATGAGGACTCAGCACAGGTAAGGTCACCTCCTACACTTCTTCCCATCCATGGACACTTTCCTAGCCAGGGGTCACTAGGTCACCACGCCTTAGTGGCCCGGAGGCTTCAGACCACATGGGATGACCTTGTGAGCCATCAGACATACAAATGCGTGCATGTACATGTTTGTGTCTGTGTCTGTGTGAGCATGCAGGACGGAAAGTGGTACAAACATACATCAGAATTCCTGGGCTGTAGTTCAAAGCTGTTCTCTGAAGTGCGGGGGAGTTGGTTTGTTTCAGAACACTAATATATTTTGGAGAAGATACAGAAATTTTAAAGGTAAGCCATCTCTCATCCTCTTTCTCCATTCAAAGGGCCAGAGAAGCGGTATTTCTGGCCTGGGGTAGAGGCAGAACTCTATAAATACAAAGCCATTAAATCGCATGCGGTGGGAACCTGATCGGAGCCTCCTTTTAATTCCCTGACACGAGCTGGCCACTAACCCAATTACCCAGAATCCCCGGAGGAGCTCTCTGCCTTCCCGATGCGCCCAAAGAGAGGGAGAGTGTATTGCACGGATGTCAGCTTAGCTTTCACTGAAATCAAATATCTTTTAGAAAACACTTGGGGAAAGACAGGCAGGGGCTGAGGGGAGGAGGGAATGGAGTGGGACCAGGAGGCTGGTGGCTTGAGGGAGGTGAGGTGAGGTAAGGAGAAGTGTGCAGGGACAAGCTATCTTGGGAGAGTTGCTGAAACCCCCAAGCTGGACTGGAGTCTTGGGGGCAGAAGTACTTTTGACCCCCGAGTACTTCTGAAGGGCTGTGCAAGGCAGCACATGTTTTTCCAGGTTCTGCTGGCTTAGAACTTGTCAGCCCACACCCTAGCCAGGCAGCGAAGCCCACCTGATGGGGAGAGCTGCTCCACTGGCTTCCTAGGGGAACCCTCATCCTGGATTTAAACCCCAGACAGGGGGCCAACTCAAGACAGATGCCACCTCTAAGTTTCCCACCAGCGAATTCATACAATGGGCAGGCCTCTGAAAAGTTGAGCACCAACAGGACTGTCTTGGAATCAAATACTATTACAACACGCCCAAATAGCTGACATCTTTAAAGCAATTGCATGGTGGATTTCACCAAGGAGCTGTTCCTCGTGGTCCCCACCTGGACCTGCTGACGGAGAGCCCCTTTCAACACCTGTGTCCTACAGGCGAGGAACCGGAAACCCAGGAGCATACGAATCCACAGCAAGAATCCCCCAGGGCCAGGAGTTCGCAGGCACAGCTCCTCACCGGTACAGGTTTTGTATTCAATTCTTTATAAAGAGATAATCACTCCCCCAAAATACAGATTTTCATATACAGTTTGCTTAAAGTGAGACAGATGCCTGGATATTGCCCGCATTCCACCCTCATTGATTCCAGAGCCAACAGCAGCTTCCAGGCAGAGGCTGAGCCAACAGAAGCCATGCCTGACTCTCCCCTCGCAGTTGCTAGGCCCCCCAAATCATGCAGCAGTCTCTCCAATGATTCTACTTAAGAAACGTAAATCTGTAAAAGGCCCCCAGAGCTGCCGCATAGAAGAGGGGAAACAGTATTCAGATGTGTAGGGAAGATGGGGAGGAAAGGGGGGCTGGCATCCACATTCTTTCCCAGCTCCCCCCCCCAAGACCCAGAACCCCACCCCCCACCCCCCTCCCAGGCCCAAGGCCCACTGTGGAATCTTGAAGAGGACAGCAGCCCTGGGGAAGGCTGGAGTTGGCCATTCACAGGCAGGTCAGAGCCAGAGCGAGTCGGGGGAGGCAGGGAGCCCTGCTGCTCCCTGGGGGGTGGGGGTGGGCCGAGCTCCTGCACATGAAGGGGGAACACCCAAACAAAAGCAGGAGCCAGGGCAGCTGCCAAGAGCCCCTGCCTGGCAGGGACGCAGGCTCCTCAACGAGGCCCGCACCTCCTGAGGGGGCCGGTCCCCACGGAGCTCCAGGCCCCAGCTCCATACTGCAGGATGAAGACTAAGTGCAGGCGCTCTGCTTTGTTCATGCTGGGAGCCTTTGTGGCACCTTCCCCAAAGGGTTTAGGATTGCCAGCACCAGGATGGTGTGGGGGAGGGGAGCGTGCTGGTGGCCGCCCCTTCCTCTCCGGGTAGAGCCCCCCTCCAGGCTGCACCCTGGAGGGTTCCCTGTCCACTCCTGCCAAGAGCCCCGGATACCCCAAGGTGCCACCCGAATTAGAAGCTATCTCTTGCCCTGTTTTCTGTGTCTGGCATACATCCTGGACCAACCACAGGGCTATTTACAGCAGGGGAGGTCAAGGTTGGTGCCCACCCTGCATGCTGCCCCACCTGAGGCTGCGTTTCTCGCAGGCCTGTGTCCCCCAGCACCCTCTACCCACCGTCCCGGGACACACGGCATCCAGCTCACTTCTCTTCACAGGCTGCCCAGGCACCTCGGCCGCAGCTGCTGGTCAGTTGTGCACCTGGCCACCTGTGTATCTGCCATCAGTAAACCCCTTCATCATTCCCTGTCTGGGGGCCACTGGGAAGGACCCCGCTCTTCCCAGCACTGGGTAGTATCCGAAGAGACTCCAGTGTTGCAAGATGGTCCAGGGATTTCGAGTGGCGGTCCCCACTTCTGCACCTCTCCCTGCCCTGCTCTTTAGCTCACAACCCTGGGAGCAGGGGCCTGGGTTTGGAGCCTCCCCTCTTCCTGACCCACCCATTGCAGGGGCAGACGTGGGGAAGCTGCAGGCTGTGGGCCCAGCAACCCTCAAACCAGCTGTGTGACTGAGGGTGGGAGAGTCCTCTCTCCCCAACCCTACAGAACTCAATTTTGTTGCCCTTAAAATTCAGGGGTACGCTGAGAGCGATGCAGCTTCCTTCTGCTCTAAGCGCCTCAGATGCTGTAAAGTAAGCAAAGAGGCCACTGGACCGTGGGTCCCTGGCTTGCCCTGTGTCCTCACAGCCAGCCCTCCCAGAACAAGGCGGCAGCTCCCAGCCTCACAGACTTAAGAGCAAGGAGCCTCTTTGAGGCTTGGATACCCTCAGGTTGGTTCCCAACAGCATACAGAGGGGGGAGCCAGCAGACCAGCACTAAAGCACACTTCTGAGGGCTTCTTGCCTCAGTTGCCTCATCTGTGGACCCCAGGATGCTCTGGAGGGGCAGCAGAAGCCTGGTGTTGGAGGCAGGGGGTGCCGTTCAGATACTCGCTTTAGTCACACCCTACACAGGGGATTTGTGTAGAGTCAAAATGAACCAACACAGTCTATCAGCAGGTCTAATACAGCCCACTTTTAATCTGGAAAAGAGGGCTGTTTCCCCACTTGATCCCCCAATGGGGTTAAAAGGGGTTGACTTATCCATCTCAAAGAGGTTAAAAGTGACTCATGGGAAACGCATTTAAAAGGCCGTGTACTGTGTGGACACAGGGGTGTTTCGGGAACTGTCTCCAGAGCTTCTGTTTTACGGGTGTGGACACCGGGCTGAGCTGATGTGAAGAGTGGGGGCCTGGGACGGAAAACAGAAGGTCAGGACCTCCGATTTCCACAGCACAAGAAGGTCCAAGTCACCTACTGACAAAGCACCTTAGATTTGGGTCCTCTTCCCCAGCTGGTGCTGGAGAGAAGAATGGGAGGGGTGCCCCTGGGGCTCTTAGAGGCTGGGCGGGGCTTCCAGAATCCTTTCACTAGTGAGGAACTGCATTCCAGTCCTGCCTTCCTCTTTTCTCCTAGCCCCTCCCCGTTATCCCTCCACCAGCCCACACCTCTCTTCCTGCCTCCTCCCGCTTCTGACAGGATTCCAGGGCCCAGGATCATAAAAGCTGATCTGTACCAATTTCCACTCACTCCCCCGGAAAGCTAGGGAAGGGAAGAAACTCAGTGCACACGCCGTACCCATTCCCCAGCAGCGGTACTCAGCAGAGTCGCCAGCCTGAGCTGCTCACAGGGAAGGTGATGAGGAAGAGACCTAGAACAGTGCTATCCGAATCATGAGAACCACATGGTATTTTAAATTTCCTAGTAGCCACACTAAAGAAGGTAAAAAGAAGAATGTGATATGTTCTGTTTAACCCCATACATCCAAAATGTTACCATCTCAATATGCAATCATTATTCAACACCTGTTACTACGTGATTTTACACTCCTGTTATCATCCTAGCAAGTCTTTGCAATCAGGTGTGTAGGTCACACTCAGAACCCGAGGCTCGAGTTGCCACGTGGGACAGCACAGCTCTAGAGACAGACAGAGGCAAAGGGAAAGCAAAGAAAGGGGGTGAGAGGATGGTGGGACGGGGACCCGGAAGGGGCAAAACGACCTCAAGGTGATAGCAGTGTGCCGGCCGCCTGCCGGGAAGCCGGGAGGAGTTCATTCATCACATGTCACTCCGGACCTTAATGTCTCGGATCTTTGCGCCCCCACACTCCATGGGCTCCTGCCCCTCCCAGGGTGCAGGGGGCTTGCCCCAAAAGGAGGACCTGCTGCTGAGTGCCATGCCAGTTTCCCAGGGCCCACGTGGGGTCCCTAATGGAGAACTTTCAACTTCTGCCTTCTTGATACTCCGTGTCTCCTGCAGGAGTAGAGAGCTAAGCAGGAGCTGGAAGCTGCAACCTGCCTACAGGGTGTGAGCAAGAGGATGGGCGGGGGCTTAACCTGGTGTGCACAGGAGGACTCCTGGAGTCCGGGGCCCCCATGGAATCACGTGCACATGCCCTGGCCTGGGGAAGCTGCAGCACGCGGGTACCTTCCCAGGGGTCTGAGGTGCCCGGTGAGAAAGGTCTCACCCCAACTCCCTCAGTGACGCCTCCACGGGTGTCCGGGGCATCTTACCTTCCTTCAGCATCCCCACTTTGAGGCATTTCATGAAGCGGCAGGCCTGGCAGGACTTGCGCCTCCGTTTTGTGATCTCACACTCGTTGGTGGCCGGGCAGCTGTACTCGATGTTCCCTGCAACCAGACACAGACAGGGTTGCCGGGTGCCGTCCAGGGCCCCACCCGCCGGCCAAAGGGCTACGCTGCCCCCACGCTGAGGCTCCCGTAGGGCAGCAGTTCTCAGGTACTTGTCAAAATGTTTTCAACACTCTTAAATATTAAGACCCCAGGTCCCGAGGTCTAGGTGGGTCGGGCAGCCAGAGCTTTGAAGAACGAACACTCACTGGGCTCGGACATCAAAACTCAGGGAGGGGCTGTCCTCAGGCTTCATTCAGTCCCCCACGTGGCACATGGAAACCACTTTCTACTGGATTTTCTGAGAACACACGTGAGCCAGGTTCTACCACTGACAAAGGGCTTCACAGCAATGAAACCACTGAGTCCCTGTGACAAAGCGCCTGGGTGCTGAGTACTCTCAATGGCGCGGTGAGTGCTCTTGTCCCCACTTTGTACTGGTGAGGAACCTGAGGCTCAAAGAGGCCGATGTGCCCAGGTGCCTTAGATCTCTCTCAAGTCCAGGTGGCCCAAACTTTTTTCCACCCCATTTCCTGCAGACAGCAGGGCTGGAGGTCCACCTCTGTGCTTGAGGATGGGAGGGGACAGGAAGGGAAGGGATAATGATTCTGCGTGCTCCTCTCCTCTGTTACCCAACCCTCACCATGTCTTAGGTCACTCTGGCTTCTTAGGAAATAATTGCAACACTCACAAAAGCATGGTAAAACTTAAAAGATAAACGGAAAAGAAGAAAACCCATACATACACTGATTTATCCAAGTCTACCCGGGCTTAGAAGCCCTTGGAGGCTGACCCCTGCCCATACCTCACCTTGGCCCTGTCTCCACCTCAACACCCCTGTTGCTCTGAGCAAGTGTCAGTGCCTGCAACTCAGTGATGTAGGCTCCCAGGCCTTTGCTCCCACTGCTTGGAACAAGCACCATTCTGCTCCCTGCACCTCTTCACCTGGTCTGTGTGCGTCTCCAGGCCCCACGTAGGTAGGTGTGCCTTCTCTACCCCATCAGCGGTGCTGCAACTGTCTCCTCCTGGACCAGCTCCTCTCCGCAGTTCAAGTGCCTGGCACACAGCAGGTGTTCAACGCGCCCTGAGAGCTAACGCTAACCAGTGCTCACTAAGAAGCAGCCACAGTTCTGCTCTCCATACATTGAAGCTTTCATTTTTCCAACAACCCTGGAAGTAAATGTCTTTCTCTCCAGCTTACAGATGAGCAAGGTGGGTCGAGTCCAGGATGAGGTAGAACAAGGACTTGAACCCAAGCAGTTTGGTTCAGTGTCTGCTCTGAACCCCTGCAGGGAGCTCCCAGGGCCTACCCACTGTGGCCCTGGGTAACTCTGCCACCTTGGGATGCCACACGCAGGCCCCTGACTTTTCACATTCTCCGGTCACGGTGGCGCAGCCAGTCTGTCGTGCCTGGAAGGAGGGTCGGTTCCAGGTTTCTCAGGGCTGCTGTTCCGGCAGAGGGTGCGTCAGCGTCTGCTGCGTTGACACGGGTGCCCTCCCAGGGCGAGAGGCAGAGTGTTCGCAAGAACTCGCGCCATAGTCTCGACCGTGCATGTGTGTGTGTGTGTGTGTGTGTGTGTGTGTGTGTGTAGAGAAGGAGAGAGAGATACCACGTTTCTAATTTTATTTATTTATTTTTTGTTCCTTTCAATTTGTTTTATGGCTCCTGCGGCTGACTGCCAGCAGAGGTAGGCTGGTGGCCTTGTAATTTCTGTAAGAGCCCCCTCGATAAAGCGATGAGATTAATTCATCAGAATTCCTGGGGTCCCTTGGGGGCAGTCTAGGAGAGCTCAGGAGTGGGGAGAGGCATCTGCCACACACACACACACACACACACACACATACCATCAGCACCACGCCCAAGCTCAGGAGTGGCAGGTTTGGGGGCGGGCTCTCCTAGGACGGGGGCATGGTCAATGGCCAGCATAAATTCAGGGCTCTAACCTGGAAGTATGCCCAGGACAGACACATGCAGACTCCACTTCAGGCAAGTCACCTAACCTCCCTGAGCTCCAGCTTCCCATCTGTTAAATGGGCACAGTATGCTCCCCTGTCACCAAATGTTGTGGATTCGGTGACAGTGAGCACATAAATGTCTTAGTGCCGTGTACACACTGGCAAACATGGAACCGAAGTTACTACACTTATTTTTACATCTAGGCTGGGCTGCCAGGCCACAAAGAGCCAGAAGACTCCTGGGGACGTCTTTTGTAGGTGTCAGACCTGGAGCTAGCCACCCATGCGGACCCTTAAGGACATTAAGATGGGCCTTCCAGAACTCTCTCTCATAGTGCACGCTGTGCGCCATGGGAGGGAGGCAGGAACGTCCAGAACCTGACCTGGACTTCTGTGTGACCTTGAGGCAGAGGGCAAATCCCTGCCCTCAACCCTCTTTGACCCTGTGCCCCAGGAGAAGGGTGCCCCCACCAGCTTGCTGTCCTTGAACAGCAGCAAGGAGCGGTGGTCCTCTCTTGGGGCTGCGGGCTAACAGAGCCTGCATGGACCAGGCCGTAGCCACTGGGTTCCACTCCCTGCTCTGTCTTGCTCCTGGAGGACAGGGACCATGCCTTTCTTCTCTGCTGGCCCTCAGCTCTCCTTCCTCCCCTCCAGCTTCCCAACTCGCTGGATGATCTCATTCCTGCCACTGGCTTCAGCTACCACGGAATCGGCAAGGATAGGCAGCCAGACTCCCTGCCTGAGCATCACACCCTTATATCTACTACCGCTGCTTTCTCACACTTCCTCAAACTGAACCCATCCTCACCAAGCCTGTACCTCTCACTGTGTTCCTTACCTTGCAAAGGGGCTACTGGCCGCCCTACCACCTGGGTCAGACACCGAGGCGGCATCCTGAACACGTCTCAGGTCCTTTTTATCCCACGTCCCTGATATTTCCTCCCTCCTTCCCCTTCGGCCTCAGCTAGTTTCAGCTCCACGTCTCTCAACTCACCTCTAATGTGCTAGACTCCCCTGTCCCACCCCTGCTTCCACCCTGCCTCTGGGGGTCACTAACAACTTCCCTGTGAAAACCCCTCTATGGACCTCCGGTTCATCGTGGCACACTGAACACATATGTCTGTGGACCTTCCCAGAAGCCCACGAAAGGGCAGTACAGGAGTGAGAACTCTCACAGAAGAATGGAGGGAGCAGAAACCAAAGTCACTAACAAGGGGGCTCCAGATAAGAAGTAAGCCCTTCCAGGTTAGAACCCTGAATTTATGCTGGCCATTGACCATGTCCCCGTCCTAGGAGAGCCTGCCCCCAAACCTGCCACTCCTGAGCTTGGGGGTGGTGGTGATGGTGTGTGTGTGTGTGTGTGTGTGTGTGTGTGTGTGTGTGTGCATGTGTGTGTGCATGTGTGTGTGTGTGTGACAGATGCCTCTCCCCACTCCTGAGCTCTTCTAGACTGCCCCCAAGGGACCCCAGGAATTCTGATGAATTAATCTCATCGCTTTAAGCCCTTGGTCCTGCAGACCTTTAGAAAGCCTCAAGTGTTAAAGACTCAAGACTCAGCAGAAGATGGAGTGAGGTGTGGGGCAGGAAAGAGGAATTTGCTGGAAGTGTGTGCCTAAGCCGTGCTTATCTGCCACTCCATGTGGCCACCGAGTGTCTCCCATGACCCGCGCAGGAGAAGCCAACTTAGTCCCTGGAGAATATATGTAAGTGAAGTCTGGACTCGGGAACCCCGGTGGAGGGCAGAAGGGGAGCCGAAGCTGAGAAGAGGATGACTGAATATTGCAGACCGAACAGAGAGACTGCCCAGCCCACCCCCAAGCCCACCCCCAGAATTCCAGCAGCCAGAGGCACACTCCACCTCCCCCCAACCTGAAGTTCAGAGTTTGTAGGATTCTCCTCTGGGAGAACGAACAGCATCAGAGAAAAGCCCAGCTGAGAAAGATGAGCCAAGGGGCTGTTCCTTGTATGGTTTTTACCCCTGTTGCCATTTCGGACTGTCGGGATTACCAGTGCGTTCATGGAAAGCCTTGACATGAAAGACTGACCAAAACAAACAGGGGAGAAGCAGGCGGGAGGGAACCAGGGCAAACCAGGAAGCAGAATTACACCCCAGAAGCAGCGATCAGCGTGCTGTTGGCCTGAGAGAAAGACACTGTGTCCATGAAACAAGAACAGTGAGCAAAATAAAGAAAGTATAAAATGGGGCTCAATATGAGTAACCAGACCAAAGGGCCTGCTGAGAGCCCAGAAGAATGAATTAAGAAAGACCTGGACAAAACCACAGAGGCGGAGAACAAATTAGCTGCCAGGTCAGGAAGGGGGAGAGGGCGGCGGGGCGGCTATTGAAGAGCAGTGCCCGTGGGCCTGCTGTGGGCCTCCACTGTGGTGGTTGGTGGTCACCGGAATCTCAAGTGAAACTGCACAGAAACACGCACACGCGAGCATGCGCAGCTGGTGAACTCTGAGTAAGCGGTGGAGTCTATGGACGCCAGTGTCCCGGCTGGGACAGTGTGCTGTCCTTACTCAGGATGGGGGAGGCGGGGGAAAGGGGTGGAGCCTGCGGGTATGGGATCTCTCTGTGCTGTTTCTTCCAACCGCCTGGGGGTCTACAATCGCACCAAAACAAAAACGTGAAATTAACAACAAACAATAAAAAGGCCTAAAACACGCAACAGAGATTTTTATCGTAAAATTTCAATCATGAGGACAAAAAAGAAGAGCCTAAGAATGTGCAGAGGGAGTGAAAAAGAAGTCAAGGGCAAGGGGCCAGGAGTAGGGTTGGCCTCCGCATCTCGGGCCACAAGGGAACAGCCCCCTGTGAACACACCCCCAGCACACACACACACACACACACACACACACACACGCACGCACTGCTCTTTATTGCTACATAGCACGCTTCCCCTGACTGCATCCGTCCGTCTCCATTGTCTGCTTTGTTCTCTGCATCTTGAACCACGTCTGGAAAGGGGCGAGGCCTCCACACACATTTTCCAATTGAGTAAATCAATTTTTTAAAAAATCCTCACCCTATATGTTTTTCT